ATTGTTGCTCAGAATTCCTTTTCAGTCATTTCAAGGGTTTCCTGCTCTATAGAGTCTGGTATTTGAGAATTATTATATTCTTTTGGTGGTGTCATATTTTCTCGGGTTTCCGTATTTCTAGTATCTCTACCTGGATGTCTAGTCATTTGGTAGAGCAGTTTCTTCTATTACTCTAGAATGGGCTTTGAGGAGAGAGATATCCTTTTTTTTTTTTTTTTTTTTTTTCTGGTCTCCATTGGTGACACTACTTGTATCAATGCAGTCAAATGTCTGGCAGGCCACCTGCACAGTGGCTGTGGCTACTGCTGTGATGTCGAGCTGCTTTTGTGGCAGCCATGGCTGTGGTGGTGGCTGTGGTGGGCCACCCATATGGAAGTGGTGTTTTCAGTGTACTCTCTTGCCTGCTTCTGGGTGGGGGGTGCTGCCCTCATCTCCTGCCTAGGACCCCAGCCATGCTCTTGTGCCTGCTTCCAGGCAAAGGAGGGATGTGCTCAGCCAACAGAATGTCTTCAATGGGAAGGAGCTGCCTTGTTTAAACTGAGAAAGTTTGACTGAAGAAAGCAAGGTTCTTCCTAGAGATTGGGAAATGCTTTTCAATTTCATGAAAAAAATATTTGCTCATAGCAGCCAATTTTTTCAAAACTCATTTGAATTTTCTAGTAACAGAACACTAATCTGCCTCAACTTTACAAAACAAGAACTGGACAAGCATGTTTTATTTTACAAATAGTTGAATGAAGATGGAATAGAAAATGCAATTGTGGAACCACTAATTTTTATTAAGTCTCTATATTTGGAATGTTTACAGGATATGTATGATCTCCATCATCTCTACCTCACTGATAACAACTTGGACCACATCCCTCTATCACTCCCAGAAAACCTACGGGCCCTTCACCTCCAGGTAAGCTTCTACCAGTAAGGTGTGCCCAAAAGATCCATGGCGGGGGAGCGGGGGAGAAACAAACAGGAGGAAGTCAGGACAAAAACTTCTGTCTATTTATAGCACACTATAACAATTTTTCTCCTTTTTCTCTCCATCATTCATTCTCTCTTCATCTGAGTATAAGGTATTTATATACATTCATGGCCCTATCCTGATAGATTTAAACTTAGTCTTTTTTATTCTTTTAAAAATCAAAATGCATCTTTTTTGGTACACAGAGCTTCTTCTGAAAAACAATTGAAAGTTTTACCTGATGAAGACATTTATAAGGATTAGAAGTAAAGAGAAAAGGGAGAAATAAAAATCTAATTTTGATGTCTAGTTTTAGTAGGAAAAATGTCAATTTCAGCTTTTGATTTTAGGTTTTATGGATTGAATTTTCAATTCTAAGGTATTCTCATGTGCTGAGAGATGAAAAGACTCCATCTCTCTGAATAAAGAAAGTGTAGGTATTTATCGTTCGTTTGTTTTGTTTTGTTTTTAACAAACATATGTGAAAGTTTGGTTTTTTTAAAATACCATCAAGTTACCTTTTATCTTTGACATAATGAATGAAAACACATTTTTAAAAACATTATGATCTTACAGTTTCTAAATGTATTTCATTTTCACCCTAGTGATTAAAATTTTGTTCAATTAAAACAAACAGTTTTGGTTGTTAAAGAAGAATAAATTACGTCTCATTTCAGATGTGAGTAACTTTTGGTCTACAGCTGTAATAAACTTTCTTTAATAATTGTATCTGTTCTATGTAATAAATATGTAGAGAAGACATCCATTGAATGCTCAAAGAAACAACATAATGGCCCAATATTATAATTTTTTAGCAGAAGTAGTACCAACCAATATAAGAAGTGATTGTGCTGTGTAACAGCAGGTCTCTGATTCTTGTGTTTTTCTTGGTGAATTCTGTGAATATTTATTTCTATTCCTTTCTCACCATTCCTATTAATATATATCTTTCCATATTTTTTGGTATCTTTTCATGTATATCTGTCTGAGTCTTGGATTCCTGTCTCTTTTCTGAGTTTTTCTGACTGTACTTACTTCCTTAATGTATGTGTCCCTTCTAGCCCTCATTCTGTTTCTGGATGGTTTTCTCTCCGTCTCTCCTTTTTTTAGGGGTAAATTTTTCTGGATGTAATGATTTCTTGCCTTGTTTATGAGGTAGGATTTTAAAGGGAATCCTCAAAGGCATACTGGAATGTGTTTTCCAATTATGAATTACATTTTGTTACTATTGTCTAGGATAGTATTGACTCTACAAAGTGACCAGGTCTCTGATGTTATATTTGAACATGATGTGCTTGTATATACAATTTGAGGTGATTTTTTAAAGTAATTAACTTCACATTCCCATTAAAAAAATAGCATTAAATCCACCTTTTAAAATATTTCTCTGTCAAAACCACTTCACCAACACACAGTATATAGTTGTTTTATTTACATTGCATCAATTTATATGTATATTTAATAACCATATAAAAATACCCTTTTTTGATTCATTTGAAAAATGTTTGCCAACATATAGTACAGTAATTAAAAATGAAGGCTCTGGAGAAAGCATATTCCCTGGCCTGAAATTCCATTCCCAATACCAATACTATCTAACAAGTGAATCTCCCTGCATCTCAGTTTTTTCATGTTAATAAAGAGATAATCTACTGCATAGGATGGTTGGGAGGATTACGAGATAAAGTTTATAAAGTGGGCAATACATTTACTGCTACATGATAAGCGCTTAAATATGAGGCACAGTTATTTGAACAACATAAATCTATTACCTATCAAAGCAAATATGCAGTCAATAAGCACTAAATCTGTAGTATTCCTCATGGACATTTTGTAATGATAAAAGAGTCAATTCATAAGGAAGATATAATGAATGCAAATATGTATTCATCTAAGAACAGCACCCCAAGATGCATGAAGCAAAAACTGTGAGAAATCATGGGAGAAATAGATAATAATAATAGTTAGATACTTCAATATTTCACTTTCAATAATGTATTAATCTGTTTTTGTTGCTTATAACAAGGTATGCTGAACTGGGTGATACATAAAGAAAAACAAAATTTATTGCTTACAGTTTCTGAGGCTGGGAAGTCCAAGGTCCATCTGGTGGTAGCAACAGTGACCCAAGGGTCTCATATTGCAAGATGGTGGAAGCAGAGAGAGCAGAGCAGAGCAAGAGAGAGAGGGAGACAGACTCTCCTCTTCTTTTAAAGCCCTCAGAACCACACCCCTGACCACCATTTTTA